GTAGCAAGAAACTACCAGTAACAAGGGCATTTCTACTAGTAGCAAGAGACTAGTAGTAACAAGGGCATTTCTACTAGTAGCAAGAAACTATGTTGGACGACTCCAAGTGTCCCGCAGCTGCATCACCGTCCCTTCGTTCAGTTTGGACATAAGACCTCGATCTGGTTCCTGTCCAACACGCGACTGGGGCATTGAGTTCTTTCTCGAGAGCAAACCTTTCATCACAATCTTCGGTACGTTTCACTTGTTTTGCTTTGCTGAAAGAACAGAAAAGTAAGTTTTCGAGTTTCTTCGATTGCTGTCTCACCTCGGCTCCGGCAGAGGATGAGGCCTCGTTTTGCAGGTGCAGACATAGCGATGCAATTGAGCTGACACCTTCGGGATAAGTGCCCCGCTGGCGCGTCGCCATCCACGCTCCCAACGGTTAGCCGTCGACGAGCCTTTGAGACCTAAATCAGTTACCAATCCACAGCATTTGCCACGGAGCAGAAAACACCAGAATCAAGTTAACATGGTCTCCATGTTCACACGACGGTTTAGAAAACTGCACGCTTGCCTCTTGAGCCTGGCCAGAAGATGAGGAACAACCCATCACAGCCTTTCCATGAAGTTTGATGGAGGCTGTGAAAGCATGCAATGTGTACGTGGTTCGAAACAAAGCAACCAAAGGTCCTAGTCTTATTCCAAATTAAGAACAGTTTGAAACTTGTGCACGGCATTAGCTGAATCAACGAATGGATGCCCAAAGGTCACCACCTGCTCGTCTCAGAGCGGCACGATGCATGGAGCACGGCTTGTCTTGAGAGGCTCTGCGAGAGAGCAAGAAAGCATAAAGTTTTGTTTGTGTGTGTTATAGCATCTTATTGCTGTTCCCCAGAGCAAAAAATGAGAGAAAATGCAAAAATGTGCCCAAATGGATCACCTTTTCGTGAAACTTTGAAGCACGGAGTCTGTACATGAGTTTCACGAACCCCTGCAGAAGACACTGCAGGGCTTGAACCCCTACCCACTCGCCCCACTCGCAGTGTCGAAGACCTCGCGGACCACTGCATCACAATGTAACAATGGCCTTCAAACTAGCAGCGATGCCTCCAACCTAGTAGCGAAGAAACATGATTAGTGCTGAAAATCACTGCGTCCTCAAACACCATCAGGACAACTGCCTCGAGGACGTGCTTCCAGTCTTGGACCACGGCCTTCAATGCAGCGTCAACCATCATGTTCTACATAGACACAGGGTCACAGTACCCAAAGGGCAGGTTTAAAGCTGAAGCACACTTTTTCCTCAATCCCTGATTCACCTCAAAAGTTAAGCCAGAAAAACGGCTGCATGCAGTGAAACATTACCTTCAGCAAGTCAGCGTATGGCTAGGTCTGTCCTGCGCCAAATACGCTTCTCTCAGTGCTATAGATCAGTACATTTACATGGCTGCATCTTCGGCGTTCAAAGGAACCTCTTCGCAATGTAGTTCCTCTTTTGCGTGGTTGACCAGTGCCTAGCCACTTGATTATCAACTCTGCATGTATTGGATCTGGTTCCAACCAAATGCCTTCATTCGACCAGGTGATGATGCGGTTCAGCGCTCTGATCTGTTGGCTGGCTTTTGGTGATCCAAGTGGACCGAAAATTCCTCCTTCCACAACTTGCCGTTCTTCATGATGTCATAGTGTGTGAGTCTTGGGCTTTGGAGTTCAAGGACACATCTGAGCTCAGGCCTGACAGGCTCTGATCTCCATGCGCGAGGGAAAAGCCCTTAAGATTGTCAAGAACTTGAAGAGGTCAACACTTTGGCCTAGAGGCATTGCGAAGATGGAACAAATTCAGCACTATTGAAGAAAGTCTTGCATCCAAAGCAATGTGTCTTAGGCAAACATCCAGAAAGCGTTGAAGCCTGGGAGAACATCAGGCAAAAGTATGAAGAGCGAAAGAAGAAGAAAAAGAAGAAGAAGAAGCAGCTTGATGACGATATTGCTAGAAGCTGCTTGCGATTGAAACAAGCTCCCAGGATGTCTCATTGATATCTGTATCTTGGTGCTCCTCAAGCAGTTGGATGCACCTTCCTGCACTCTTGTGACTTGTTTCGACTGAAGTCTTGAACTTAAAGTATCATGAATCCCAGGTACCTATTTGTCCACTTAAGCTGTCGGGCTTTGGGACACCCTTCAAATCTGATCTGTCTCGCACTTCCACACTGGTTGCAATGTTCCGTGTGATTACCGTTTGCTGGGCGTATGCGTCTGCTACTGCTTGTTGTAGCTGGCTCTGCCGTGATGCCAGTGCTTGCATCATCTGCGCAAGCTGCTGCGCAGTGTCTGTGGGCTGAGCTGTTGCTCCTTGTGTTGGCAGCTGTGCCATTGTGACTTGCTAGCCAGGACTGAAGCAATCCGGCTTCTCAGCGCGTAGCGTTTGTAATCTCGGATCTCCGGTGCCAGAGCCGATGCATCTTGGCTACCTTCGATCCGCAAGTAGCTGGGTCTTAGAACCACAGCTCCGCTACCATGCACGGAGATTTAGGCTCACAAAAATAAGTACAGAAAGGATAGGTTCAAAGCTGATTCACATTTATCTCAGTCCCTGATTCAAGCTAAACCAGAAAAACGTCTGCAAAAAAGTTATCGGAGCCCGGTTTCCGAGTTACAGTTCCAGAGCTAGAATTGCAGAGTTCCAGGCAAAAAGTGGCGAGCAGGGCTTGGTTCAAATTCAAAGTCAGAAACCCAAAAGCTTCCAGCTCTGCGGTTTGAAGGCAAAACCTCTTGGGTTGGAGACCATCACTTCTAGGTTGAAGGCCATCACTTCTAGGTTGGAGGCAATCGCTTCTAGGTCGGAGGCCATTGCTTCTAGGTCGGAGGCTGTTGCTTCTAGGTCGGAAGCCCTTGCTTCTAGGTTGGAAGCTATTAGGCTCCTTAAATGCTGACAAGATTAAAAGGTGAACAAGATTCCTTTAGCTATTGGATCCTCTGTCTCATTGGTTCATGTCCGGCCTGCATCCAAGCCTCCCAGGTGGCCTCTTGTGGGGGCGGTGCCTTACGAAGATGAGGATCTGATGGCGAGATGTGACACCAGATCTGACGGCTACACATCAAGTCTAACTTGACTGGTGGCCATACTCAAGTCTCACAAGCTTTGATCGAGTTGCTTGACGCTTCTTGATGAGGTCGTAAGCCTGCCACACAAGATCTCACAAATCATTGCCTTCAATGAAACGTAGATATCTGCATAGATATGCGACAAACTCTGTCAGAATGGATGGTCGAGGAACTGATCTTCTTGTTGGCCTTTGTAATCTCCGACATCTTGTTCTCGCATTCCTTTCCACACCTAGGTCGAATGCTTTCAAAATGCCTAGGTTGGAGGCCATCGCTAGTAAGTTGGGCCATCGCTACTACTCCTTCGTGCTCCTTAGATCTCCTGAGGCTCTGAGCCCTGGATTGCGATCAGGATGCCACTGTAAACTGGCACTTCGGTAAGCAGCTTTGGCCTCCACACTTCTTTGGATCAATATGTTTGTTGAAAAACCAAGAATTGATAAGCTACTAGGAACAAGTGCATCGCTTCTAGTAACAAGTGCGTTACTAGTAGTAACAAGAAGCTATTAGGAACAAGAATTAAATTAGAGATCTTTGTGTTTGGAGGTATCGATTCCAAAGATCCGCCTCACTAGAAGAAGCGCCCTTCGAAAGTCCAAGAAGCTCGTATGGGTTGACCTGCAACACTTCGTGTCCACACCAGAGTCTTGAGATTGAAGCAAACATTGTTCCTAGTAGCTTCTTGTTACTACTAGTAAGAAGCTTGTTACTAGAAGCGATGCACTTGTTCCTAGTAGCTTCTTGTTACTACTAACATGACCAGGTGACACAATACACAAATGGTCTACTGACTACTGATGTCCCATCACATGGACAATGGTTTGGGGACAATCCATAGCATAGGAGCGACAAGAGTCCGATTTGAGATTGGCCATGTTCTGCAATCTGAGAATTCTTGGAAGGCTGCTTTGGTGTGACTATGTCCAACTGTGTCAAAGCGGCTGTCTCTGTGGTGCCCGCGGTGAAAATGACCGAGGGCGGGCTGCCCACATTCCTGCACTTCTGACCTTCTATCATTCCTTTCTGATCCCGGCGACTGACCAGCAACCTAAAAAATAACCTGCTCTGTGTGTGCCACCACTTCAACCCTTCCATTTTGCCTCTCCACCATAAAACAAAACTCAAATGATGCAAGAAAGCCCAACCCAAGGTACAAGCATCATTAGCACCATCAAATTACTAGCACAAGTTTCACCACCACAATTAACACAACCAAATAAGCTGTCTAGAGCTGAACTGCACACTTTGACTTCAATCTCGTCCAAAACCCCTTGTGAGATTCCGTGATAGTTTCATTGAGTGAAGTGATGTGTTCTGACTTAGGCACAAAACTTAGTAAGTGTGCACCCTTAAGAAATGCAAACCGATCCGTCAATAATCGTGCCTGTGTTTGGGCGGCAATTCGATCAATGTCAACCACCTGCACAAGTGATGAGTGATGTGGAGCTGTGTGAAGGAGAAAATGTAAGGCAAGGGTCTCTTTCGCAAGGCCCCTCGAAAGGAAACTTATTATTGAAGAGGTTTTACTATGTTTGTCCTGTTTTCCTCTGAGAATGAACCTGACCAAGCCAATCTCGTCACAGCCTTGAAGTGATGCAAGGTGACCGGAAGATAGACCTGACCACATGGATGATGCAAGGCTTGAGATCCTCCAAAATGTTGGGTTAATTCCTTGCCTTAGGCTCTTTCAAAAAAAGAAAAGGATCTTGAAAAAGTATACAATCAGAATCAAAACAATGAAAACATGTAGGAACTTCGGTGAAAAGCAGCTCCTAGCAGTTTCTAGTTACTACCTCCCTGCATCTCCGTCTTCGCCCTTGCTAGCCGAAAAACACGTTGTCTACAGGTCTTGGCAACTCCTTAATTACACTTAATTCTAATTAAATTCTATTTATAAATTGTTTCTACTAGCTTCTTGTTCCTAGTAGTAAGCCCATGTTCCTAGTAGCGATGCTCTTTGCTCCTAGTCGCTTAAGCGAAAGTCTTGCTTTACAAAAAGTAGGTGCATAAATAGAACGAGTCGTTCTCTGCATGTCTTTGCTGCTAACAATTTTACACGTGCCGGTCGGTTGGGGATACAGTCTCAAAAAATTGCAAAAATACTAAGGCCACAACAACGATAGCCAGCAGACCCGCCAATGCAGCAAGAATGAACCTTGTGTTGATCAAAAAGGAACGGACTATATATACATCAATCTAAAGAAGTTTGTCTTTGCAAAGCATCAAACTTAGCTTCCTTGAAGACCGCTGCTTCGACCTTCTTAGACACTGGCATTGGCATGTGGCATAAGAGCCTCCTTCTGCTATTGTCGTATGGAGCTATTGGAGCACACCGCCTCGTGATAGCACCGTACAGCACAAAAAGAACTTTGCTGCCAGAAAAAACATTGGAGCCTTAATGATGTCCTAAGTCTTCTGTTTCTTCTGTTTGTATGCTAAGGAAGAACCTGAACTGACATCGGTTCAGCTGTTCTCTGCTCCCCACAGTGCGTTGAAGGAGCGAACATAGTGCGGCATGAAAATGGCATCCAGTAACCAGCCTTAACAGCCACGCTAGTAGTAACAAGTGCCACGCTAGTAGTAACAGGTGCCTTACTAGTAGTAACAAGAAGCTAGTAGTAACAAGTGCCACGCTAGTAGTAACAGGTGCCTTACTAGTAGTAACAAGAAGCTAGTAGTAACAAGTGCCACGCTAGTAGTAACAGGTGCCTTACTAGTAGTAACAAGAAGCTAGTAGTAACAAGTGCCACGCTAGTAGCAACAGGTGCCTTACTAGTAGTAACAAGAAGCTAGTAGTAACAAGTGC